AGCGTCCGCATGGTAGCGCCCCGCCGCGCCCATTGCAGCACACCGCTCACCTCACACGATCCGGGGCCCCATCGCAAGCTCCACCGACGGCCCCAGTGGCAGCGCCCGCATGACACCGCCGCGCTCGTTTCGGCACACGCCTCGCACACTTCGTGGCCCCACACTGCTGCACTCGTTTTGGCACACTCGTCGCACGTTTCGTGGCTCCGTAGGGATCTCCGAAGGCCCCAGTGACAGCGACCGCATGGCACCGCCACACCCATGGCTCACGTTTCGCCCGTTTCGCGGCCACAGGGAATTCAATGAAAGGCCCCGGTGGCAGCGCCCGCATGGCAGCGCCGCACCCGTTTCGGCACACCCCTCAAACACTTGACCTTTGAAGGAGATCCACCGAAGGCTCCAGGAGCAGCGCACGCATAGTACCGCCGCGCCCATTTCGGCACACCCCTCGCAAGTTTCGTGGCCCACCGAAGTCCCCAGTGGCAGCGCCCGCATGGTACCGCCGCGCCCATTTCGACACACCCCTCGCACGCTTCGTGGCCCCATCGCGAGCTCCACCGAAGACCCCAGTGGCAGCACCCGCATGGTACCGCCGCGCCCATTTCGACACACCGCTCACCTCACACGATCCGCGGCCCCATCGCGATCTCCACCGACGGCCCCAGTGGGAGCGCCCGCATGACACCGCCGCGCTCGTTTCGGCACACCCCTCGCACGCTTCGTGGCCCCACAGGAAGCGTCACCGAAGGCCCCAGTGGCAGCGCCTGCATGGTACCGCTGCACTCGTTTAGGCACACTCGTCGCACGCTTCGTGGCCCCTAAAGGAGCTCCACCGAAGACCATATTCACGACTTGTGTACTCACAACTTCATATGGTGGGGTTCTTCGCCAGGATACGATTTTCACGTTCCCCCATGTTCTCACACATCCTAAGTGGGATTATTGATTTCTCTGCACTCCCCGCGTAGGAGAACCTCACCTCCTCTGTCCTTCCCTCCTCCTTTACACTGACCCTCGCCACCCACCATCACCATCACACCATCATCACCAATACCACCATCCCACCATGATTACGAATCGTATATCATCGTCATCATCACCACCTTCGTCATCTTTACCGTCACCATCCCTCCAATACACACACGCATACACACACGATCACACACGCCGACACGCTCGCACACTCTCATATCCACACGTATACTCCGGACTCACTCACTCACTCACTCACTCACTTACTTACCCATCCACAAACTCCCAGACTTCACACGCCCACCCGCACGCACGCACGCACGCACACACATACGCACACAAAGCCGCACACGCACACACACACACACACACACACACACACACACACACACACACACACACACGCGCACGAACGCGCACACACACACACACTCACTCACTCACTCACTCACTCACTCACACACACACAAACACACACACACACGCGCACACACAAACGCACACACACACACACACGCACACCCATAGGCAAACGCACACACGCACACGCACACGCACACGTACACACACACACACACACACACACACACACACACACACACACACACACACACACACACACACACACACACACACGCACACGGAATGCCTCGAGCGGGAGTTTTTTGTTTGAGTGCATCGCGGGGAGCTCTCGTGCGGGAGGCCTCTCCCTGTGTGATCCCCACCTCGTGTTGGCAATCCGAGGGGGTCATCGGCGCATCGCAGCAGGCATGGCACGCGAGCACCCCAAGGGGGCACCTGGCGGGAAGGTCTCGTCATCATCAGCATTATGAGCACCCTTCACTTTCACAGTCACAATCGTCATCATCACCATCAGCAGCATGCTCATCAGAAACACACGCACAGTCACCATCAGGATGTCTCGAACGAGAGCCTCATCCGTGAGTGAATGGCGAGGACGTCTCGAGCGGACGCCCCCTCACTATGGGGTCCCCGCTTCCTGTTGGTAGTCCCACGCGGTCATCGGCAAGTTGTAGCAGGCATAGCAATTGAGCACCCCTAGGAGGCGAACCGTGAGGATGTCTAGAGCGGGGGCCTCATCTGTGAGTGAATGGCGGGGAAGTCCAAGGCGGGACCTCCCTCTGGGGTCCCCACTTCACGCTGGTAATCCCGTGCGGTCACTGGCAAGCTGTAGCAGGCACAGCGCTTGAGCACCCCTAGGAGGCGAATCGTGAGGAGCATTCGAGCAGGGGCCTCATCTGTGAGTGAATGGCGGGGAAGTCTCGAGCGGGAGCCCTCTCCCATATGAAGTCTTCGCATCATGTTGGGAATCCGAGCGGGCCATCGGCGTACATCGCACGCGAGCTCCCCAAGGGGGCACCTGGCGGGAAGGTCTCGAGCAGGAGTCTCGTCTGCGGGTGAATCGCGAGGAGGCACGGGCGTCAGCCCCCCGACCCATGGGGTCGCCACCTCATCCTGGTAATCCGAGGCGGTCATCGGCGCACCGTAGCAGGCGTAGCACTTCAGCACCTCGAGCGGGAGCCGCCGAAGTCTCGAGCGGGAGCCGCCTCCCCATGGGGTCTCCACCTCATGTCTGCAATCCGAGCGGGTCGTCGCCATACTGTAGCAGGCAACCCCGTGAGCACACCTGGTTGGCAAACCGTGGGAGGTTCCCCAGCGGGAGCCTCGTCCCTGAGTGAATCGCGAGGAAGGCTCGAGGGGAAGCCCCCTCCCTATGGGTCCGCACCCCATCTTGGTACTCCGAGCGGGCCATCGGCGTACTGCAGCAGGCATAGCACTTGAGCACGCCAAGGGGGCATTTCGTGAGGAAGTCTCCAGCGGGAGCCCCCGCCCTATGGGGACCCCACCTCGTGTTGGTAATCCGACTGGGCCATCTGCGTACTGCAGCAGGCATATCACTTGATCACACCAAGGGGGCAAACTATGGGCAGGTCTCTAACGGGAGCCTCGTCAGTGAGTGAACGGCGGGGACGTCTCGAGCAGGAGCCCCTTGCCGATGTGCCCCGCATTCAATTCTAGCAATCCGAGGCGGTCATCGGCAACCTGTAGCATGAATAACTAGCCTTTCAGCATCCCAGGGAGGCAATCCGTGAGGACGTCTCGGCCGGGGGAGTCGTCCTTGAGTGAACAGCGAGGAAGTCTCTGACATCGCCGGCATCCAGGCACAGGCGGCGCAACTCTGACAGTCTGACAGGTCCCACAGTTCCCGCAAGTCGCGCGTTTTCCCACAGGCCGCAGCATAGACCAGGCAAGAGCAGCAGGGCGCAGTAGAAAGCAGCAGACAACAGCAGAGACCAGCAGAGACCTGAGTGGGGCTCTGGTTGTTCTCTCTTCACACCCCCGCGCAGGAACCCCTCACCCCCCTCTCATCTTCCCTTTCACACCCACCATCGTCATCATCACCATCATCAGCAGACTTATCAGAAACACACGCGTAGTCACCATGAGGATGTCTCGAACGAGAGCCTCATCCGTGAGTGAATGGCGAGGACGTCTCCAGCGGGAACCCCTTCCCTCTGGTCTCCCCGCTTCACGTTAGTAATCCCAGGCGGCCATCATCAAAGTGTAACAGGCATAGCGCTTGAGCAGTCCTAGGAGGCGAATCGTGAGTGAATGTGAGCGTCTCGAGTACGTCTCGAGCGGGAGCTCCGTCCCTAACGGGCTCCTTGCGTCATGTTGGTAATCCGAGGCAGTCATCGGCGTATTGTAGCAGGCATAGCACGTGAACAGCGCTAGGATGCGAATCGTGAGGACGTATAGGCACACATGCTGAACGTGGCCTCGTTTGTGTGGCCGCGACCAGCTCCAGGGCCGCGGGACGGCGTCTTTCCGCGCCCCAGCGGCCCAGTAGTCTGTCACGACGGCGAAGCTCGCTGGGTTGTCCCAACGGTTTCGCGATCTGGCCATCGGAGAACGCGCCCTTGTCTGCCGAGGCTGCGACGGCGCCGAGGAACATCGACATGCGCGCCCTTGCAAGAGGGACAGGTCTAGGTTTCCCAGATGGGGTCGGAGGAGCTGGGGTCGGAGGATCGCGCTGCATCGCCGATGCATGGGCGATGCGGATCGATGCGAATCCCGATGGTCGCCACGCTGAAGGCGGCGATGAATCGCCGACGTCGCCGATGTATCGCCGACGCGTGCCTCGGTATGTCTCTGTTCCCGCAGGAGCGTCCTGTGTTCCGCCCTGGACCCGCTCTCGAGGCGCGCCCGTCGAGCACCCGCGCGCAGGACCGCCCGAAGGCACCACCCCAGGACCGTCGAAGACACCGGCCCGTGACCGTCGAAGGCCGATGGGTAGCGCGGGGCCCATGGCCGAGGACGCGGAGTGCGCGGCGCGGCGCTCCGCGGCCCCGTGCCCAGTCTGGGGGGAGCTCCTTCAAGGGAGGAAGAGCCACCCGGACCGGACAATCGGCCTTGATTGAGCGGCCCTGGGCATTTACTGAACAGCTCTGCCCTGCTCGGTTCCTTCACTGGGGGCGTCTAGTAAACGGCCTCGCTCGTCGGGGTGGTTCTCATGGGGGTGGGTTTTCTGCCCTCTACTCATGGATGCCGCCTCTCGCTGTGTGCCGCTCTCCTGCCGGCCGCCCCTCCTCTGCAACGCTGCACGTTCTCGGGGGGCGGCCCCGAGAAGCCGGGCGGCGGAGCGAGGCCCGGCCCCGGCCTTCCGGGCTCCGCCCCCTCCCGTTCCCCGCCCTTTTTCGTCCCGTTCCCCCGCTCCCTTGCCTCGCAGCCTGCCCCTCTTTTCTGCTCTCCTCCCCCTCCTCCTCCTCCTCCTCCTCCTCCTCCTCCTCCTCCTCCTCCTCCTCCTCCTCCTCCTCCTCCTCCTTCCGTAGCCATTTTGGCTCAAGTTCGAAACGTTGCCCCGGCGCTTCGAGCTTGGACGCTGCCAAGGGGTTGGCCCGAGCGTTCCGAGGTTAGGCCTCGCAATCTTCTCCAGTCGTGCGCCAAAGCACGTGGTGTTTGCCTCTGTGATCCTTTCCAGTGCATCCCATCCTCTCTTCGACGCAATGGGGCTTGCCAGAGGTGACAAGAGGGACGGCGACGAGAAAGGTGTCAAGAGTGCCATTGTCAGCAAGGACCCTCGCAAGCGTGGCGCCAGTGCAAGTACGTCACGCCCATCGAGGCCGAAGGATCGGTCTCGCTCGAGTTCCCACTCACGTTCCCACCGGTCGCGTTCTAGCTCCAGTGGTTCGTCAAGAGTGGTGCGTTCTTCGCCATCCGTGAGGAGGCCCCGCTCGGAAGTGCGCATGTCCACGCCATCGCCGCCTCCGCCTAGTCATGCGCCAGCATGGATGTCGGGACTCATCTCGGAGATTCGAACCAATAATCAAAAGATCAGTGCCATGGAGGTCTCGATGAAGACAGAACTTGACAACATGAAGACCAGCCTCCAAGTTCACGATGCCAATGTAATCGCTCTCAACAATAGGGTAGTCGAGCTAGAGAAGGTCTCGAAGGGCAGCATCACGGAAGCGGTCACGGCAGCGGTGGACGCTAAGCTTCAGTGCATTCAGAGTCAGATCGACACGCTCCAGTCCCGACCGCCGCCATCAACAACCCCCTCGACGGCAGCTTCCTCGCGGAGTGGCAGCCACCATGGAGGAGGTGAACCAGTTGCAGATGATTCTGATCCATATGTCCGATTTGTTGGCACCTTCCCCAGGCCTGTGCTCAAGAGGATCCGATCCTTGCACTATGAGTACCTTGTCAGTCGCTACGGGCACCTCATGCAGGACGCTGTCCCGTACTTCCACGCCGTCAGTCAGAGCTACAAGATCACGTTCAAGACACTCGTTGCAGCCAAGCTCTTCCAGCAGACGGTCAACCAGGACGGCCTCTCTTGGACGGATCCTCGCGACCGAAAAGTTTATCCACTACGTATTCGTGCTGACCTTCCTGTTGATGTGCGTTCAAAGAACCGTCGGGTCAGCGAAATATACCAACCCCTCAAGGACCTGCTCTCTGGCAGCGATAAATGGACCCAAGACATGCGCCTAGGGGTCAATGGCTTCAAGGGCACCGTGCAGCTCATCTCAGATGAGGATGTCTGGATCCTGGTGGACCTGGTCGCCAACGCGCGCATGGGGGGGACCGTCTACGACTTCCAGCCGAACATCTCCAACCTTGAGTACTTCGGTGTCTCCGCCGAGCAGTTCAACACCATTGTCGAGCAAGCTGCTGCAGCTGCCGCCTGACGGCCTCTTCTACGGCACCATCGTCATGGAGAGCCTGGCGATCGACAACCGAGTGCGGAGTCGGATACCAGCGGTATCCAGGCTCGTGGGTGCCTCGGAGGTCATGGGCTGCCTGCTCCTCGTGTGAGTCCCTTCCAGCCGGTGGCTGGGGACACCGCGCCTGTTGCCGCATCTGTGCCTGTTCTGTCGCAAGAGGGTGTCGAGAGCAGCAATTCGTCTTTTTGCTTTTCCCCCTCTCCTCCCCCTTCTGGCTCTCTCCCATTTCCCATCCAGAACCAGTTGAGCATCGTGAGCTGGAATTGTCAAACTATCCTGGGGTCGGTCTTTTCTGATCAGGCGGTACTTCGAGAGAAATACGCTCGTCTGCGGAAGCTACTATCTCGTCACCAGATTGTTGGCTTGCAAGAAACACACGGTAATAATGAGGACCTTGATCAGCTTCGGAAAGACTTCAAGACTCACCAGGTATTCGGCACATTCTGTGACACCTGTTCTGCTGGCGGTACTATCCTCTTCATCCATCGCTCCATCCTCTCCTGCTTTTCCAGGGTTGTCGAGAGTGTTATCTGCAAGGGTCGTATTCTCGCTATCTCTCTCTACTCGGACTCCTCCTCCCTCCAGCTCGTCAACATGCATATCGTACCTGACTGGAGTGAAAAGATTACTCGTATTATGTTCGATAAAGTTCGTCGTCTACTACTGCCTGCCTCGCAGTCTCTTGGATTCGTCTTCGGGGATATGAATTTTCTGGCGTATGGTGAATCTCGAATGTATCTAGACACAGGTGCTGAAGGTCCCACAACGAATCGACTAGCCAGTTCATTTTCCGCTGCCCTGCCTATGCTTGCAGAAGTGGTGCAGGATCATGACACGCACCGCATGATGCGCCAAGGCCGCCTCTCGCTTGCTCGGCTCGACCGCATCTACACTACCATGTGCACCCAGGATCTTCTGGATCACTGTCCGCGTTCTGGCACCTGCTGGGCTGTTGCGGATACTCGGGCGCCGTCGGACCATGCTCCTGTATATCTCTGTCTAAATAGGTGGGCCCCTACTGGTCTCCTGAGGATTCCTACTTGGATTGCCCAACATGCTCACTACGCGGAGGTTATCAAGCAAACTTTGGATTGGGAAGGTCTCTCTGACGATATTTTTAATCGGGTGGAGGAGGTCAAGGAGGTGCTAAGGTATGCGGCCCAAAAGGTGCGCACGTTCATCTCGGACAAGGGTGCTAAAACGGATGAGGAGAAGGTTTCCTGTTTTCTTCTGGTTTTGCGGGGGGCCCGTTGTGGCGACCCTGAAAAAGCTCGTCGCGGGGTCCGTGGCTTCCCCAAACTCGGGGACTTTTTTGATCCCCAAATGTGTTGTTGGACTGACCGCCCAGGATTTGACACTCTGCTAGGAGACTTTATGCGCCGTATTCTCGAAGTTCGAGAGCGTGCTGAACAGTCCGCCCAAGAGTGTTCTGGTTCAGCTGATGCTCGATCTGCTGCTAATATTGCGAGAGTTCGGCGGCTTAGTCAAGCATGGCGTGCATCTAGTCGGCAAGTTTATCTTCGTGCCATCACGGACACTGATGGCCACACGCACGAGGATGCGGATGTCTGTGCCCAGTTGCTTGCGGATCACTGGCAGCCAATCTTCAAGGCCGGCACTGCTGATCCGACTCAGATTGCCAGCCTCGTATCCCTCCTCTCGCCCATCCCTGATGACGATTATCAGTATCACGCTAACGATGGCTGTATGTATCCCTGGGTTCTGACTGAAGATTGGTTTTACAGTATTCTTACTTCCAAAAAAGACACGACCCCAGGGCCTGACGGCATCCCCTACTCATCCTGGCGAGCTTCGGGAGACATTGGTAAGAAAGTATTGTACGATCTCTACCTTCACCTGATGCAGCAGGGGACGCTCCCTGGCCGATTTAACGAGTGCACTGCAGCCTTTTTGCCGAAGGGCTCGGCTCTGCTGGGCCACGAGTCGGCGCGGCAACCTGCCTCGACGCGCCCTTTGTCACTCTCGAATTGCGATAACAAGTTGCTCAGCTCAGCTATTGCTGTCCCAATCGCTAAGGTGGCGGAGGATAAGGTGGACAAGGCCCAGAGGGGCTTTATTAAGGGAAGGCAGATGTTAGACAACATCGTGGAGGTGGATTCTAACCTCACTATCTGGTCTGCTATGTGTGGCTGCAAAAATGCTGGCTCGGCTTTATTTGATCTGAAGGCTGCCTTCCCCTCTATTCACCATATGTTTATTTGGGCCTGCCTGCGGGCCCTTGGCATCCCTGAGTTCGTCATTGCTGCTATTATCGCCCTCTACAAGGATTGCGTCATGTATATTGTCTTCGCTGGTTCTCGTAAACATTTCATACTCGTCGAGCGTGGTGTGAAACAAGGGTGCCCTCTTAGTGGGATTATTTTCAGTATCTGTTTCGACCCCGTGGTCCGTCGCCTCAAGGAGATTGCCTATCGGATTCCCGTCGTTCTGAATGCGTTTGCTGACGACCTTAGCGTGACCAGCTCTGACCTCATCGGGGTGTTGCCGCAACTGCTGCGGCTGCTGTGTCAGGCCGGCCTTGGCTCGGGGCTCATCCTCAACCTCTCCAAATGCCAGCTTATCTTCCCTCACTACCACACCTTCCTTAATGCGGTGGAGCTCTGCAAGGCCCAGGGTGTGAGAATTCGGAAGTTCATTATTGGCCAGAACGGCTGGTATCTCGGCGTTGGGGTAGGCATTGGTGCTTGTGACAGGAGCTGGGCCCCAGTATTAATTCATTTGAAGGAGCGCAGTCTGCGAGTGAAGAGCCTGAAGCAAGGCCTATCGATCAGTGTGCAAGCTTACAACACGTATGCAGTGACTGTTGCTGGTCATTGTGCCCAGGTCCATCCTCTTCCCCACTCAGCTCGGAATATTGAGAAAGATGCGATTCAATTACTTACCTGCTGTCCTCGTCACGCCTTTCCTCCCTCCAGTATGCACCAGCTACGTGAGTTGGGCCTGGGCGTGAGTGTTCGGAGGCTGGAGATCTACGCCCGTGCATGTCTTTTGCGTGCTGCCACCAAGAGCGAGGCCTTCCTATTTTATGATAGAATGGTGCAAGAACTTAGTCAATCCGACCATGTATGTATTACCTGGAGTACTAACCCGATGGCAAGGCACTCGATCTTGATGAACATGCGTAGGGAATATCATCAGTTCTATAGTATTCGTAGCCTCCCAGACCTTCCTGAGCGTGCGGTTCAGAGGTGGATTTCTAAGACCCTCACTAACCAGTTTCCTACTCCACCTGCGGCCTCCTCGATTCTTCCTCGTATTCGGAAATGGATCCCTGGGGCCCCTCTTGAGTCTGCTGATCTTTGTGTCCTTCGGTTGAACATCATTAGCCAGTGCCTGCCCACCTACATCGTTACAGCTCTATTGAAAAGTATCTTCAACGGCTGGAACACCACGAGACGGTACAGATGTGGGGCAGAGACCTGCAAAATGGGGTGCCCTGCTGTGGGAGGCGACGACATTCTCCACTATCTCTGTTGTCCCATCGCCACCTCCTTTCTCACCAAGCATATCCGATTACTTCCTGAAGAGTACGGTTCTGAGCCTCTCCCCTCTTTCCTCCCCCACCTGTTCCCTGCAGACAAAGAATGCATGTTGTGTTTAGCGCTTGCTCTCGATGCCCTCCATAGTGCCTTCCAATCCCTGCGTGCCTCCCCCCTCCCTCCCGCTCCCTCCCGTACCCGTGGATTGCTCGCCGCCCGCCTGCGCACGGCGGCTCGGCGGTCCAAGCGAGCCGCTGCCCTGCTCCGAGGCGCGCCCGCCCCCTCCGCTGTGCCGCCGCCGCCCTCTTAGACTGTCGAACGGGCTCTCATGGCAGTGCATTGGGTCGGGTCGGCCAATGCACTACCTTCCCCTCTGGTCGGTGCTACTCCTCCTCCTCCTCCTCCTTTTCCTCCCCCTCCTCCTCCTGCTTCTCCTCCTGCTTCTCCTCCTCCTCCTCCTCCTCCTCCTCCTCCTCCTCCTCCTCCTCCTCCTCCTCCTCCTCCTCCTCCTCCTCCTTCTCTTCCCCCCCCTCTCCTCCTCTTCCCTCTCGCTCGAACAAGTACCCTTCGACATCCCCCTCCTTCCTCCTTCTTTCTCCTTCTCTTCCCAGGACGGCCGCGGCGCCCGATACAGCCTCCAGAACGGCCGGATCTCACAGCTCCCAGATGTGTCTCCGTCCGCTTTCTTAGCCTTGCGCTGCTGCCCCTCTCCCCAGGGCCCAGAGGGGGGCCGCGAGCCTCGCCAGCCGGCCGGTCTGGGCCGCCCCTCTGTTCGCCACAGGCCTGGGTTCCGTCGCGAGAGCCCCGCGAGCGGAGCAAAACAGGGCGCCGGGCGTCGGGCCGGGCGCGCTCAGCGGCGCGGGCTTTCGGCTTCACCGGGGAGGCTCCCGTCGGGTCGGACGAAGAGTGGGGGTGGATACGGAAAGAGGGTGTTACGCAATCTGCTGAATGCAGCCGGTTTCGGCCCCGCTGCCAGACGCCTTCCACATGAGCGACTCCCGCAGTCAGGTACGCGAGCTGAGTCGCAATAACCCACCCCTGGAATTACTGACCCCCCCCGTTCATCAGATCCGATCCAGGAGACTTCGAGTGCAGGAGGTCAAACTGTAATTAGGCGAGCTCTGGCCAGGGCCTACGAGGTGCCAGGCGGCTGGAGGAGGTAAATAATGAGGAGGCAGGGGAGGAGGACGACGACGAGGATGGGGAGGAGGAGAAAGGAAGCCAGGAGGAGGACGGAGAGGAGCAATGATCAATCAAAAACTTGCCGCCCGCTGCTTTGAAGGAGTCAATGGGAGCTGAAGGAGGGCGAAAATTCTTCATGGGTCAGCTTCTTGCCCTACATTAATGTAAGATCAGGGTCTTGCCCCTACTCATTGTTTTTGCCCTTCCAATTGTTCACGTTTGCGTTCTGCTAAAAACATCCATCCTCCCAAGACCACCATCCCTGTTACATCCAAATGCTCCAACCCAGCTCCAGCATCTTCATCCCGACGCGGGTGTAAAATGATGTCACTCTTTATGTGTATCACATTGTCTAGAACTGCCACGCCCGTGCTCGCATTTCTACTTCGATTCCTCATCCCACTCTTATTGCGATGGCCTCCGGCCAGTGCCGCCGATCCGGGGAGCTCCGGATTCGGTGATCTTCGCGGCTCTGTGGCCTCGAGTCTTCCGGTCCTTTTTATTCTTCTCTGGGGGGGTGCCTGGAGCGGTCCCGGGGGGGGTCGGGGGAGAGTTCTGAGGGGAAGGTCCTGGGTGCGGTAGCGGCTAGATCTGAGGGGGGTCCCTGGGAGCATCTTAGGGATGCGCAAATCTTTTGTCCGGATGCGCAAAGCATGAAACAAACGCTCGATGGAGGACCCCCTCCCCGTCCCGGGCAGAGCCACCCCGGCAACCCCCCCTCCAAGCAGAGGTGAAGCTCTTGCTTCGGGTCAGAGCTGAAGCTCTTGCTGAGGCTCGTGTAGTTCATGTTTCATGCGCCAGTTCGGCGGATTTCCACTGATGTTGATGGTACTGGTCACTCTCCTCATTTTGATGAGTCGCTGGTGCAATGAACCAGGTTGGTGGTCGATGGTTGCGTGGAATGGCGTGTTGATGAGTGGCAGCAGCGTTTCTTCCGTTGACGCATGATTCCCGCGTCGGGAGACGTGCTGCTATTCCAGCGGGGGCATTTCTCTCCACTGCTGCGCGAGGCCTCTGCTGGGGGCAACGCGGGCCTCTGGGGGGTCTCCTGGGAGCAGTTTTGATGCTCTTCTGCGTCCTCGATAGCGGGTTCAGACGGCCAACAGAACCGCCTAAGTGACCAAAGAGTTTCCACATGGCCTAAAGAAAGAGCTCCAGGACGAGGTAAACGCATGCCGAGGATAATAAAGTACTCCTCTCCTTAAGTCGTTAGAGTTTTTTATCGTCGGCCTAGAAGGGTTTCAAATATAGGCGGAGGGCGCGGAGGCCGAACTTCATTATCACTGGGAAAGTTCGCCATCGAGGTTACTTCCTTCTTATGTTGAGATAACAACATCAAGCGAAGCGAACACGTTTTTTTCAGGATGTCTCAAGCGAAACCAATGTCCTCCTGTCTCTTTGTAGTTCTGTATGTCTTTCTTTATTTCTGTCTCTGTCTCTCTCTCTCTCTGTCTCTCTATCTCTTTCTCCTCCTCCCTCTGGCGCCCTGAACTTGTTTATCGCTGGGGTTGATTATCCTGGGAAAACGAGGCACGTGAGCTACCCTACACAAGCAGATGAAACTTTAATTTCCATTAAGCGCTTACAAGTTAAATCTAATAAGTTTTAAACTTTGGATGTTTGCTATCTCCTTCTCCTCTCCTCCTCTTGCTCCTTCTCCTCTCCTCCTCTTCTCCTCTCCTCAAGCGAAACAGACAAATATTTCGAGGATGTCTCAAGCGAAACAAGCAATTCGTTGAGGATGTCTCAACCGAGACAAATCATTGTTGAGGATGTCTCATAGAGGACCAAAGACCAAGGATCCTCGAGATTTCTTTGGCTTTTTCCTTTTGGTATCTCTTTATGCTGGCTCTGGCGGGCAACTTTTATTATCTCCCCGAAAACCCCGAACTTTATTATCCCTGTGTGTTTATTATCCGCGGCATGGGGTTACCCAAGACGGTTCCGGGCCTCCCCAATGTGGTTCCTAGACAACAACCAAAGACCCACGATATCGCGACCCGCTTACGATTACCGGAGCTCCTGTAGATGGCCCTAAGGTGCCCCGAGCGACCGCAAGATGGTTCTCCACTTGGGACCGCTTTCGTTTCCGATTCGGTTCGATTTGGGGTGTTTTTGGACGCAGATTGAAGTTTCCGTCGCGCCGGAAGTCAACACCAAAATTGTAGTCCCATACGCGAAAGTTAGTTACATGGGGCGGCGAACCACGCCAGACTGCCAGCCACCTCGCGTCCACATGCGAGGGGTGATGCCTTGCGACTCTGGGTAGGGGTTGGGCCGAAGGGGTGAAGACGTGCGACTTTGAGAGAAAGAGGAAGTGAGGGACAAATATGCAAGAAAGGCATAAACATTCCCCAAGCAACCTACGTCCAGAGGGCTAGTATGTATATCAGAGTGAGGAAGGAGGCTGAACGTTCATTAGTTGGCCCGTTGTGCGTGGCTGAAGTGTCGATCCATGTTGGGGATTATATGTGTTGCGTTGTTGTTGATGTTGATGTTGCTGTTGCTGTTGTTGTTGGACAAGGCGGGGTTGAGGGCCTCCTCCTCCTTCACCTTCAGATCGTCCTCCTTCTTTCTTTTCTTATATTCCTCCTCCTCCTCCTCCTCATTGTGTTGCTCCTCGTTCTTCTCGTCCTCCTGCTCCTCCAACCTCCTCCTCGTTCTTCTCCTCCTCCTCCAACCTCCGCGTGCTGCCTCCTCCTCCACTTCCTGCTCCCCCCCACCTCCTCCTCCGCCCCCTACTCTCCCCCTCCCCCTCCTCCTCCGTCTCCTCCTCCTCCTCCTCCTTTTCTCCTCCTCCTCCTCCTCGGCTTCCTTCCATTCCTCGTCCTTCCTTTCCTTCTGTTTTTCCAACCCTTCCTCCTCTTCCCTCCTCCTCCGCCTCCTCCTCCTCCTCCACCTCCTCCGCATCCTTCTCCTCCTCCTCCTCCCCCTTCTCCTCCTCCTCCTCCTCCTCTTCCTCCGCCTCCTCCTCCTTCTCCCCCTCTGTCTCAGCCAGAGAACTCCCAAAAGGCTCCCAACGAAGCCCCCAGAAACCTCCAGAGAAGCCTCAAACAGCATCCAGAGAAGCCCCAGGAGGAATCAAGAAAAGTTCCAATCGGCCAAAATATAAGCCCCAAGAGGTCCCAGAACTCCCAAGAGGCCAGAATTCCCAAGGGGCCT